CAACTTGCAAATAGGAGAGGGAGATAATCCATCAGGTGGATGGTTCAGTCCTTGGGTTGCTGGATGATTAGAGTTAATATTCCCCAGGAGCAAAATGGAGTTGAGTTTTCCCTTTCTTTGCTCTACTGTGCTCCTATGGAAGACAACCTTAAAAAAAAAAACTTTTCAAAGCTCCTCTAGGGCTGTGCAGTGTTATACCACTGTTTTCTGAGGTGGTTGCCATGTCCTGGTGGCCCCCTCCCCACCTGTGCTGAGGCAGATTCCAGAGGGGTGGTCAACTGCCTTAAGTGATTTAGATGTGCACATTCCTCAGGGCTGAACTATGCTGGGTATCCTTCGACAGCAAACCTCCCTTGGTCCCTCTGACAGCCCCTCTATGTGTTTTTTTTAGCCTTTGAAGTCATGTGGTTCTAAAAAAAGCTTTCTAGTGTGTGTTTTTTGTTCCTTGTTCAAGTGCAATGCTCTGATTCCTACTCCCAGCTGACCAGGGGCTGGAGAAAAAGAAACCCTCCCCTTGGATTTTCTTTTCCTTTTCCTTTTCAGAAGAGGTGGTAGAGGACTGGTCTTGCAGACGAGTTGGGCACTCTGCCCACCCAGCTCCTTGGCAACAGGCAGCACCCACCTGAGGGACAGGCTGTCTGTGAGCTGGGTGCAGTGGCATGAAGACAAGTGGAGCTATCTGCCAAGGGGTTCCTCAGCTAGGTCCTTTTTGTCTCCTCATCCTAATGTGGTTCAGAAGCAGCCTGATGATCCAGAGATCTTGACTGGGCTTTTCCAGTGGTGTGAAGGGGCAAAGCCTGTGTGGGTGAGTGCTGGACCCCAGAGCAATTGCTGGGTCCCAGATCAGCTGCTGGAGGTGACAGTTTGAGGGAACAGACAAGGTTTGCTAGTGGAGATACACGCAGCACAATCCATCTAGAGACCCAAGCTTGGCTGGCAGTGACTGTTCAGGAGCTGGGGAGATGAGGAAAACCAGGGGCTGAGCTGAGCAGTGTGCTGCCTTTGGCTCTGCTTGCTCCCCTGGGAGATGTCCCTGTGACCTGTGACCTGCTTGGCTGGGAGTGCTCAGCCTGCAGCCAAGGATTGTTTTTGCATCCCGTTTTGGCTCACCCCCTGGAATTATACCCGTTAGATATTATCAGAAACTTCCTGACTCACCCTGGCTAGCAGTATTGCCAGCTTTTTTGAGGTCCATATTGATTTGCCTCCGAAGCTCAAGTAGATACCGAGAGCTCTGCTGACCCAAAGCACAAGCAAGCAGCATGGTAGCTTTGCAGAGAGGTGGTCATCTGCCTGTGTCCAAGGAAGACTGGAAGCATCTACGTTTACAGAGGGGTCATAAGCTTTCAGGTGCTACCAGGTCTTGGTGCAGTGTGTGTTGTGGGGAGAACATCCAGCTACCTGAGGTCAGAAGTGTGGGTGCAGGAGGCTGGTGGAACTGGGCTGGAGTACCTGGGTTCTTCACTCTTGTCTTTGTAGCAACTTGTATTGCTGATAGGGCTTTCCACCCATGCATCTCCAAAGCAGACCCTCTGCTCTCTGGCACAGACTTTGCCTCCTCTTGTGTAAGGCCCAGGATGGCTGTGTGGTGTTAAGCCCTTGATGGGCCCTGTTGCTCAGTGCTCCTCAAGAATCCAGCCAGGGTTTTCATGTCCTGTCCTCAGCCATGAAAACAGGCATGCTGTGCTCTCCTGGGGTTGTGGCTGATGGCACATTCAGCTCTTGGAATGTGGGAGGCTGTGGACTAACAGTACCTGCTAGAAATGGCACTTGGACCTTCTTTCTCTTAGGAGATGCAGTTTTGGCAGCCTCTCTCCTTTGTACGCTGTCCCCTCAAGTGAATGTGTTGGGGATGCTCCAGCCTGGTCAAGAAGGGGCAAGGAAGGTGGGTACCAGTGTGAAAGTAAAAAGGGCACTTGAACCTCAGTATTAATGTGGAAAAGAGGCAGGGTCTTGCAGCTTGTTTCTGGCCACTGGAAGTGATGTACCAAATAGTGTTGGTCCTTAGCAGATATTGCTGCAGGTCCCACCGTGGTGGCATGGGACCTGGCACTTGCTGCCTGTGGCACATCAGCATGGAGAGCTGTGCAAGGGATGGAGCAGTGCAGGGAGTATTGGATTTTATTTGGTGTTGCAGTGCCTGAATGGAGCAAGGGAGCCACCAGCCTCTGCAGGAGAAGGGGACAGGATGGGTGGGGATCTGTCAGCTTTGTTGGGTGAAGCCAGCACTGCGGGCAGGCTGTGTCCTGGTGAGGTGTTGTGGGTGAAGCCAGGCTGTGCAAACCAGCTCACTCATCTGAACTAACGGCTTTTAAGCTCAGGATTATCACAGTAGCTCCAGCTCACGGGCCACTGACTCCCAGGCATTAACCAGGAAGCCTGAGATGTCTCCTCATCCCAAGACATCTACATCAGAATTGCCCATCAAAAGCTTTTCAGGAGTCTGGTGTGCTTTGGAAAGCTGGGAAGGAGGAGGTGGGATGTCTGGGTGCTTCCCTGCTGCTGTGGTTGGGCTGAGTGTGGGAACCATGGGTGCTGAGCCAGGTGGCTTATCCAGGAACCAGACTCCTACTTGTCATCCATCTCCTCTCCCTTTTTTGAAGGTCTGTTTGCCTTGTGCCTCAGCAGATGGAGAACCTGGGGAGGGTGAAAGCTCAGAGGCATCTCCTAGTGCCTGTCCCTGGGAGAAGAGCAGCCATGGCCTCCATCCCACCTTCAGACCCTCCTGCTTGAGAAATGGTGTCAGTCACAAGGGCATCTACAGAACCAGGAGAAGAATGGGGTCAAGCATACCTGGGACTTAGACTTGTAAATGCCTTGGCCTCTGGTAGAAGCTGTGCCCCAGAAACAGCTTTAAATCCCTGGCCAAGTGTATGCTTGCAGCTTCTGGATAGAAAATGCCTTCATGAAAGGTGTGCTACGTACGCAGTGCTAGCTGCAGTGAGCTGGAGGTCTTTAGCTGAGATGTCCTCCTCTGGGGGTGTAAAGGTTGAGTGAAGCTCTGCAACCTTCTGTTTGCAACTGGTGGCTGGAAACACCCAAAACTCTGGTTTAGTGAGTCTCTGCTCACTGGTGCTGCATCCCAGCACTTCTACATGGAGGCACTAAGTGTTTCCCTGACTCCTTCAGCATGAAGTGCTGTGTCCTGGGAGCCCTGTGCCCCTCCTGGGTGCTCAGCAGTGAAGAGTTTTGCTGGAAGAACCCTGTGTTGCACAGCTCCTGCTCCCAGATTTGAGTCCTCCCCACACCACTGTTTCTTGGTGCAGCTTTAGGCACAATGAGAGTCACATGGTGGGCCAGCAACAGCTCTGTTCCATCTAAAACACATCTTTCCTGCTGGTTGGGTCCTTTCTTGCTGCCTTGGGTGTCAATTGTATGGGTGGCATTGCAGTTTGACTTTGGAGGGACAGCAGATTTTCCTGCGGTGGTTGACATGTCCTTGGGGGGTGGCTTGGTGAGGGGGAGGAGAGCACAGTGTGCCCACCAGCGATGCTCAGCCATGTATCATCTGCCAGCTCCTGCTCAAAGAGCTACCGTGAGAGCTGTCTGTGCTCTCACTGCTGATGTTTCTCACTTTGGTGAGCACCAAGCTCCTGTCTCTAGAGCTGAGGTGGGAGTTTGGCTTTGGGGTTCCCACAAAACCAGCATTTTAGTGTCTTTTTCAATCCTCCACGCTCAGAATAATGAGTTCATTGTGGCTTGTTTGTGCCAGAGCAAGTTCTTGTCTTCCCACTGCTGGGCTTGGGATGCTCTGCGGGTGTAAATAAGTGAATTCATGGGAAGAAAAATCCCTCCTGATGCCACTTAGTGCTGGCATGCTCTTCCCCTGGTCCCACCATGCTGAGGGAGCTGCTGGTGCTGGCCCAGTGCTGAGTTTAGCCCTGGAGAGTAGGAAGTGGGGGGTGGGGAAAAGCCCCAGCAGGCTGCTGGTGGGGATGGGGGAAAGAAGTGACTCATCTTCATCCTAAGGCATGGAGACAAATGAACGAATGCACAAGGAAATGGGCGGGGGGGAGAGGAGAAAGAGGCATCTTGTGTTCTCATTGCCAGCTGCACGGTGGCTGCTGCTGCTGAGGAGGAGCTGGCTCCTCTGCTGCCTGCTGGCAGGAGATGCTTGGAAGATGGAGGGGCATGTGGAGCTTGGGGGTGGATCTCAACCTGTGGGAAAAATCAGTGCTGACCTGTGCTGGGCCAACTGATCTGGTTTAAACATCACCTCTAGCTACACAGGGATGTTTCCCATCCTTGTATTTTAGATGGCTCAGCACTTCAAAACCCAAACTTATTTCCAGCTTTGTTCCTTCAGCTGTCAGCCAAACCCCAGGAGTTTCCTAAGTAACACTTCTGTCTCTCTCCTAGGACTGGGTGATGACCCCACAGCATCCCCCCTGGCCCATGCCAGCCCTCCCTTCCCCTCGGAGGGGATCCCCGTGGGGCCGGGCTCCAGGGATGTGCCTGTCCCCACGCCAGCTCCTGGCCAGTCCTCACTGCCCACACCCACAGGACCTGCTGGAGATGGGGTGTCCTCTGGGCCTGTGGAGGGGGGTGGCAGCAATGCCACCGCTATGGAAGTGCTGTCCCCTGCTCCTGGCTACGTCACCGTGAGCTCCATCACCGCAGCCACCATCCCCACAGCAGACAACCCACCTGTAGGCTCCAAGCCCAGCTTGATGCCACCAACCATAGAGACAGCCCCAAGTCTTCGGACAGCAAATACTGCCAGCTTGGCAAGAGGCATGGTGGATCTGGGGGCAAGTCCCAGCCCCACAAATACACCTGCATCCTCCTCTTCCTCCTCTTCCCTTCCCACCAATGACCTGTACTCATCCCCTGGGATGGTCTTGTCCCCAACACCCATCCCCATGAGCCCCAGCACCACCCAGCTACCAGTGCTGACCAAGGACATCCCTTCCCTGGGGACACTGGCCATGGCATCAAGCCTGGCTGTGGAGCCAACGTCTCCTCCAGCGACTGTGACAAGTCCCACTGCAGCTGAGGCCATGGCCACTGGTAAAACCACCCTCTCCACTGGAGTCACCATGGAAGAGGTCCCACGGGCCTTGAGTGCAGGTAAGCACCACTGCTCTCCATATGTATGTATAGGTATAATGTCCATCTCAAGGTGCTTAGATAAAAGGGGCAGAGCCCCCTGAATTTCAATGATGCTGTGCTTTCCTGGGGGAGCCTATGACATCTGTTCCACCAGTGGAGATGAGTTGTAGATAGCAAACCTCAGTTGCCTGGAGATATTAATAAAATTCTTAGTTTCAAATTTGATTTGAAACACTTAGGGATGAGAAGAAACAAATGCCTGGGTGGTGCAAGATGTAAGTTGGAAGCCTGAGACAGGAAGACGGAAGTTTTTCTTCTCCCTCCTGGAGATTTAAGCTGAGACTAACTTTAACCTGTCTTCTCGAAGCTTAGGTAGCTTAAAGTGCTTCATAAGGCCAGAAGAAAAGGAGGGATCTGGAGCATTTTCTAGCTTTGGTTCAGCACTACATGCTCCTTGATGCTCCTCTCAGCACCAGCAGCAAGTCTATAGTCCCCAAGCAAAGCCCACCTGTGTGTTGTATCCCAAATCCACCTGCCCTGAAAAAATATAGAGGTGCCCAACATGCTCCACAGGAGCTTTGGGAAGTAGTGAGGGAATGTCCCCCCTCAACCAGAGGCCGCTGAGAGGGGGGTGGGGTGGGTGCTGTGGGGCTGGGACTCGGGTGCTGAGCACTGCCTGCTCTGCTGGCTCCTCCACAGGGAGCATCGTGGCCATAACTGTGACGGTGATCGTGGTGGTGGTGCTGGTGTTCGGAGCAGCAGCCTACCTCAAGATCAGGTAAGACTGGTTTTGGGGTGCCTGTGTGACGGGGTGCTCAAGCTGCAGGGGGCCCCCAGGGCTGCAGCCCCTTTCCAGGTGATGCTCAGGGGCAAAGCCCTGGGGAGATGCTGTCTCCAAGCCCAGTGGGCCCACGGGCAGGCTCTACTCCTGGCATGGCTGCATTTTCTACCACACCTATGTTCCAAAAGTGGGATTTTTCTTTAGTTTACAACAGCCTCACTCAAATGCCAGAGAGATTGTTCACCATATAATCATAACTGGTAATTAGCCCTAGGGCAAGATGCTGCCATGGGTCTGGCTGTGACTTGGACAATGAACAGCAGCACGGCCCAGTGCTGAGCATCCGTCATGAGGCTTTGCTGGCAACAGATGAGCAAAGGTCTTGGTTTAATTCCCATAATTTGTCCCAGACTGGTTCAACAGGGCCAAAATCCTGCCCGGGCTTATTTGCTGTCCTGGTGCTTCCTGCTACAATATCCCAAAGCTTGACCTAGTGAGGACTTGCATGTATTTTTCTCCCCTCCCCCCCACCCCGGCCCATGGTAAAATAACTAATAAACACCAAAGCGACTGGTAACGTTGGGTGGTTTGCTCTCCCCTGACAGGCACTCCTCCTACGGCAGGCTTTTGGATGACCACGACTACGGTTCCTGGGGCAACTACAACAACCCTCTCTATGATGACTCCTAGCAGGGATGAGGAGGAAAAAATAAAAATCCTTAATTTATAAGTGTTTCTGAAGCAGTGCATCCACTGAGGAGGTGCCCGGGCACTGAGCCACTGCTGTGGACAGGATTATGGCAGCTCCAGCAGGTGACAGGCAACCAGAGGGTGGGCAAGTGTGTGGCACCCACAATAAATCTGAACTGTGGCCTTTGTGTAGAAAACCCTCTGGGTCCTGGGGCACATAAGCTGCTTGGTTTGTAGGTAAGGGAACCCAAATTCCCCAGGGGGAAGGGATGGGGGAGGTAAGGAAGGAGGGTCAGCCAGTGCTATGGTATCCTTTGTGAGGTTGCTGCCCCATGGCTTGGGGAGGGGACATGTGGGTGGGGGTCTCCTGTGCTCTCACAGACTCATAGAATTGTTTAGGTTGGAAAAAACCTCCAAGATCACTGAGTCCAACTGTTAACCCAGCACTGTCAGGTCACCACTAAACTATGTCCCTCAGCACCACATCTACTTAGTTTAAATCCCTCCAAGGACTTCACTGTTGCCCTGGGCAGCCTCGGCCAGGCCTTGACAACCCTCCTGGGGAAAGCCTGTTCCCTAATGTCCAACCTAAACCTCCCCTTGTGCAACTTGAGGCCATTTCCTCTTGTCCTATTGCTTGTTCCCTGGGAGAAGAGACTGACCCCCACCCCACTCCAACTTTCAGGGAATTCTTGAGAACAAGGTGGTCTCTCTTGATCCTCCTTTTCTCCAGGCTGATCAACCCCAGTTCCTTCCCTCAGCTGCTCCTCACAAGACTTGTGCTCCAGGCCCTTCACCAGCTTTGTTGCCTGTCTTTGGACACAATCCAGCACTTCAATATCCTTCTGGGAGTGAGGTACCTAAAACTCAACACAGTATTTGAGGTGCAATCTCACAAGGGTCACTTAGTGGGGGACAATCACTTCCCTCTCAAATTCCTCTTCCTCTGAAGCAATCTCCCTGCATTGCCCTGGTGTGAAACCCTTCACCTTGCCTTGCCAGGGACCATGAGCTGTTGTGGGGCTGTTCCATCACTGCTCTTTCTTTTCCTGAATATGTTTCTGCTCATAATTTATTTTTTTTCTTATTTAATTGTAGTTTTTTTTCCCCCTAAACACAGCCTGGGAGCCTGTGGGAGGGTGTATTGACCATCCACACTCCTGGGCTGAGAGGTGCCCCATCTCATATGTGTGGGAGCTTGCTCTGCAGCTTTATTTGTAATCCTTGAAAAAAATGGCTGCTAAAATATAGTCAAGTTTTTTTTTAGCCCCAAATTTGTGTGTGTAAAGACAGGGGGTGGCTGATGGCAGGGCTGGCCTGGGCAGGGGATGCTCATCCCAGTCCACATCCCCTCACTTGGCAACTTGTGCCTCTGACTAAATCCCCTGGTAGTGAAAACCAAAGCCTTCAACTCCTGCAGCCTTGATAAATTAGCACTAAATAATGCTGCAAAGGTTTGGGGCATCCCAGCAAGCTGCCAGGGCTGATCACCATCATCCCCGAGGCTACAGACTGGTCACTTCCTGCAGACCCTTGGCAAGACAGCATCACAACTGAGTTTCTACAGGGGTTTTGGAGAAGGCAGCAGTACCCCTGCACAGGTAGAGATCACAGAATCACACTTTGCAGCAATTTATGCCCCTGCTCTTAATTACCAACTCTTTTCTTGCATGTAGAGGGCATGAAGTTCATCAGGGTATCCTCAAAGATTCCTCTTTGCTGAAGTCCTGAAGCAGCCTGACAGTTGCTGCTACAGGGGGGGGCAACCAAGAAGCATCCACCATGCCCTATAGGATGCCAACAGAGGAGGCAGGCAAGGCCTGAGCTGCCATCTCACCCCAAATGCAGGCGTTGCTTTGCTCTGGGTTAATCTGCTGGAAAACAGGCTCTGCCATGCACCCCAGCTGCTAAACAGTGTCCCAGGAACATCAAAGCTCAGGGCTTTTTTCAAAGCATGATTGCTTCCCACAACAGATGCATCATCTCTTAATTTTCATTAAGCAAGCATAAAAAATGCACCATAACAGCCACCTGAAAAGGTCAGGAGAAGCAAGGACATCTCCTCCAGCTCTGCTTCCCAAAAGGAAACACACTCATTAGGCACTTCCCTTTTCTTTGCCAGTCTTTTCTAGCTTATTCAGCAGCCCAACCTTTCTTTCCTTGTTTCTTTTAGCATTGGTTGGGCTCAACAGCAAAACTTCAGTGCAGGATTTGCTGGCACTGAGCTAAGCTGTGGAGACTGAGGTGTTCCAAACCCTCTTTTAGTTCAACTGGTGTAGAAAAGGAGAATCAAGTGCTAAACGGTCGCTGCACCTTCAAACCACAGCCAGCCTGGAAGACTGTTGGTGTGGGAGCATACACGGGGTGAGATTTATGGCAGGACTGCTCTGTATCCCACTCGCCCCCTTCCCTGGGACAGCCACTAGGTCTCCCCACCAGGCTCGGGAGAGCTGGGAATGCGATGCCGAGGTGGGAAGCACAGTGGTAGCGCAGGCTCCGAGTATGCTTGGGAAGAGCAGAACTCCCTTTCACCTTTTTGGCAGCCAAAAAGCAGCAAATTAGGCCATCTCAGCTAAGAAAAAAACACAAAGTGAGTTAAAACTCCCACCCTTCTTCTCTTGAAATAAATTGGATGGTGGTGGCTGCGCTTGCCCTCCCTGAAACCACACAGAAGAGGCTCCCCCTGGCCCCTGCCAGCGAGAAGTCACCCGGCAGGGAGTCCATCCACTCCTGAGCTGCAGCAAAGTATTGTCCAGCAATAGCAAAGAGCAGGCATTAAAAAAAGTCTCCCCAAACTATTAAAAAAAATTTGCTTTGCTCAAATGCTGCTGCTAAGACAAGGGAGGGAATAAAGGGAGAGGAAAAGCAACCACCTTCACTTATAAATAATATAATCCCCAGGGGAATAAATTCTTTTTCCACAAAGAAGATCAGAAATCAGGTGTTTTCTTCTGCAGGGCACTGGGTTTTTCTTGGCCAAGGAATTAAACCAGACCCCATTACCATGGGTTAATTTCTCTGGACACAGTCCCAGCCTGCCTGACATCACCCACTGACTCCAGGCAGCAAATCAGAGATAAATACATCACGTTCACCCCTGTAGCTTGGAAATGGGGCTGTAGAAATGAACATTCTTTTTTTTTTTAAGTAGATGAGAAAAACTCTTTGCCACCAGCTTATTTTACTTTCAAAAATAGCAACCACCCCTTTTTCCCAAAGTCTTCCCCCCTCCCTGGCTTTGGCTCATTTTCATCTCAGAGATGTTTTATTTATACAGCAAAAATAGTTTACATAGCTTGGTGCAGAACATCCCATTCCCCGAGAGCCTGGCAGCAGCCCCGTGCCTGATGTGATTCCTCTCCAGGTCTCCTGCCTTGTCCCCACTGCAGAGCCAGGAAGCTGCTTTCACCACCATTTCTAGGCTCCCTAACCGTGCTTTTGTTTTGCTCATTTGCTCATATGCTAATAACTCATCAACACGTTTCCAAGGGGCATTTTCTTAGACTCTTGGTAGAATTAATGGAGTAAAAAATAAGCACCCAGCAGCCCAGACCAGAGCTGAAGGCATCACCCTGACCTTGCACCACATGTTCCTACATCTCCAAATTCCAAGAAGTGACTTCCCACCAAAAACTCACTGGAAAGTTTGCAACATGAGGACCAAACATCACCAAATTTGCTTCCAAAGCCTGTTTAGCACACGCTGATGGCAGATGTCTTCAGGTGCCACTCCTGTTCAAAGGTCATTTCTCAAGCAATGGAGAGGCAGCTCTCATGTGAACTCTCATGGCTCACAACTACTTCCAGTACAACCGCTTGGCCTTCAGCCCATCCAGTTTATCTGCCAGGATGCTCTAGAAAGATCCATGCATTTTATTTATCAGCCAAGAGCAGCCTCAGGCACCCAACATGAGCTAAGACCCAGCTGGGAAAGTCTTCTGCTCCCCCTTGCCCCACCACACCCAGGGCAGGGTGAAGGTTTGAGCTTTGGCAAGCAAACAGCAGCTCTGCCTGGGTCAAGGGACACAACTAAGAGCCATCAGCCTCTGGTGGGACGTCACCCTTGGGTAAGCAACCTCCCAAGGGCATGCTGGAGCCCACCCTCCATCCTGCCACCTCCACCACTCCCAAAGGGCACTGTCACTTGCCAGCAGCTACCAGCAGCCAGGAGCTCCAGGCGTTGAATTCCTTACTCTTGTTTTGCCAACAAAGCCACTTGCAAGCCCAACCAGAAAAACAGATGTTGAACCATTTCTCACAAGTCTTCACATAATCTGTTATTTTGCAATTATTTCACAGGTTTAGAACTTATTTTTTAACACAGAGCATCCAAAATTCTTCCATCCACCTGTATTACAAGGACCTGGACTTGCACCTCCATCAGCCCTAAGAGGACTCCTAGTCCTCCAAAGCTGTAGGAGATGAGTGAGAGAAGGAAAGGGGGGGCCCCCAGCACCCCAGGGTCCCTCTGAGGCTCTTCTCCAGCCTCCATCACCCAGACTGGAGCCAGCTCCTTGCAAAAGATACAGCAAACTGTTCAGGTGTCAGAGAGCAATTATTTAATGACAGTGCAAAGTGAAAAGTCCCACATGCAAACTTCCCCCTCAAGCCCAACGGGGACCATGAAGGAGAAGAAGCAGGGAAATCACCCCATTTCCAGCGTGGAGGTCCCAGCACGCCCCTGGGCTAAGCCAGCCCTGCTTGGAGCTGGAGAGCCAGATGCTGTGCTAGCCCGCCGAGTTATAAATAGCCCGACGTGACGAGCCTCTCTCTAATTGCGTTCCTTCCACTTGGAAGGACAAGAACCAGATGGTTTCTCTGCAGCCAGGCAGGGCAAGACACCAGCCTCGGTCCTGGGAGAAGTCAGGGCTGTTCTGCTGCAGGACAGGGGTTTTTAAGCATGCCCAAGCAAGGAGGAGCTTGTGCAGCTTCAAGGAAGGGTCTTCTGCCACTCAAGAGGTGGAGGCCAGCAGCCAAGCACTCCCTGCCTTTCACTGAGC